ATATTAAACTCTTCTGAAACCAAACTTAAGCCCGAGACCGCCTCAAACTGAAATCTTGGATCCACCCTTGAATCCACGACTAAACATGCGCCTCTCCCATAGTTTGATAAAACACGGTGCTAAGAAAAAAACATAATTTTTGTTTGATTGTATAGCGTGGCACCAAGTGAAATTGTTTTAAGCTGAGATTTGAGAACAAAGAATAAGAGAAAAAGAATTGAAGAAATTATTCTGTAAGTTTCTTGTTCGTGTAGGAGTCTGTCCTATGTAAAGATGAGAATTAGTTATAGGTTTCATATTTAAAATATTAATAATGAAGCGCAAACACAAGTACGTCGGATAAATATTTATAAATTGTAATTAGATAAGTGAATATTCATACTTTATTATTATCTAATATTATTCATGCTTATTATATGCATATTATAGAATGCTAAAATATTTATACAGATAATATTTTTTGGTTTGGACTTCTCCAACAATCCTTTGGATTTTTGTTGAGTTATTTTTTAACAACACTTTGGTCTAATAAATAACTGAAAATTGAAATCGATGATAGGTAAGCTATGGTATTTTGTTTTATACTCGTAACTCACTAGCTAATCCCGGTGCGGCGCGTTGCTGCCGCAGTGGAAATAACTTTGAAATTATCTTTTCAAATTTGGAAGTTACGAGAATATTGTTTAATTAGGAATTAGGAATGACCATTCATTGAAGTTGTATGATATATAACTTTCAAATAAATTTGTTGGTACGATACGCGCGCTACGACTCGACCTGGCAACGTACAACGCACGCACCCTGAGGACTGACGAGAAGATCGTGGAGCTGGAAGAAGAGATAGACAAGTTGCGCTGGCATATTATAGGATTATCCGAAGTCCGAAGAGAGGGGGAGGACACGGTAATCCTCGAATCCGGCAACTTGCTCTATCACCGGGAGGGCGACCATCTGTCCCAAGGAGGTGTCGGATTTATCGTCCACAAGTCTCTCGTTAACAACGTTGTAAAGATCGGGAGTGTGTCGACGAGGGTTGCGTACCTTATACTCAGAATCACCAAACGGTATTCGCTGAAGGTCATACAGGTTTACGCACCAACCTCGGCACACCCCGATCAGGAGGTGGAGGAAATGTATGAGGATATCTCTAGAGCCATGCATTCCTCCAAAACCCAATATACGGTGTTAATGGGAGACTTCAATGCAAAACTAGGCACAAGAGAGAACGGTGAGCTGAAAGTAGGGAAATTTGGAATAGGGCAACGGAACCCAAGGGGCCAGCAGCTGGCCGACTTCATGGAGAAAGAGGGACTCTTTATGATGAACTCTTTCTTCCAGAAGCGGCCCCACAGGAAGTGGACCTGGTCGAGCCCCGACGGTTCGACAAAAAATGAGATTGACTTCATTATGACGACCAGACGACAACTGTTCAGTGATGTCTCCGTGATCGCAAGGGTGAAAACTGGTAGCGATCACCGAATGGTTAGAGGCACACTGAACCTAAACGTTAAGTTGGAGAGGTCTCGTCTAATGAAGTCAACGCTCCGTCCCCCTCGTGCTCTAATCCAAAGTCCCGAAACCTTTCAGCTCGAGTTACAAAACCGTTTTCAGTGCCTAGAAGACTGCAATGAAGTGGACGATATGAATGACAAGCTCGTGGAAACTGTCCATGCGGTCGGAGCTAAGTTCTGCAAGACCCGCCGCAGAAGAACACAAAAACTCTCCGATCACACTCTTAATCTCATGGCTGTTAGACGGGAGATGAAGCTACATTCTTCAACAGACTTGACAGCATACAGGCATCTGAACAGACAGATCTCCAAATGCATGCGGCGGGACTTACGCAACTTCAATACAGCTCGTATTGAAGAAGCGATCGAGCGGAACCAAGGCTCCAAAGTCTTTGCCAGAGATCTGTCTGCCAGAAAGAGCCAACTGTCAAAGCTGAAGACAGAGTGTGGCAGCATCGTTTCCGGGACACCTAAGATTTTGAGTGAGATTGAGAGGTTCTATGGGCAGTTGTACACGTCATCGTTGGAGCCACACGCAAGTGTGAGTAACGATCCAAGAGCGAGTCTCATCCGACGCCATTCCGAAGATATCCCGGACGTCAGTCTGAGCGAGATTAGAATGGCTCTCCAGCACCTTAAAAACGGTAAGGCCCCAGGCGAGGATGGAATTACAGCGGAGCTTCTGAAAGCGGGTGGGAAACCGATACTTGAAGTCCTTCAGAGGCTCTTTAATTCCGTCCTCCATGGTGGCATTACACCGGAGGCGTGGAGCAGAAGTGCGGTGGTCTTGTTCTTCAAGAAAGGTGACAACGCTCTCTTGAAGAACTACAGACCGATTTCCCTTCTGAGCCGCGTCTACGTGCTGTTTTCGAGAGTCATTACGAATCGTCTTGCGCGCAGACTTGACGACTTCCAGCCTCCCGAACAAGCCGGTTTCCGAAAGGGCTTTAGCACCATAGACCACATACATACCCTTCGGCAAGTTGTACAGAAGTCCGAAGAGTACAATTTGCCACTATGTCTGGCGTATGTGGACTATGAGAAAGCCTTTGATTCCGTCGAAATTTGGGCGGTGCTGCAGTCCCTTCAGCGGTGCCAAGTTGACTGTCGGTATATCGAAGTGTTGAAGTGCTTGTACAGTAGGGCTACGATGGCTATCCGAGTACAGAACCAGAGTACGAAACCTATCCAATTGCAGAGAGGTGTAAGACAGGGTGACGTCATATCCCCGAAACTCTTCACCGCTGCATTGGAAGACGTTTTCAAGCTTCTGGACTGGAAAGGGTACGGTATCAACATCAATGGCGAGTACATCACTCACCTTCGATTTGCCGACGATATAGTCCTTATGGCAGAATCGCTGGAGGGCCTAAGCACTATGCTCAATGACCTCAATAGTGTTTCCCAACGGATAGGTCTTAAGATGAACATGGACAAAACAAAGATTATGTTTAATGTCCATGTCACACCTATGCCGGTAGTTGTTGGGAGCACTAAGCTCGAAGTTGTTGACGAGTATGTTTACCTGGGACAAATAGTCCGACTAGGTAAGTCCAACTTCGACCGAGAGGTCAATCGACGGATTCAACTCGGCTGGGCAGCGTTCGGGAAGCTACGACACATCTTCTCGTCAGACATACCTCAAAACCTTAAAACGAAATTGTACAACCAGTGCGTGTTGCCAGTGATGACTTACGGAACTGAGACGTGGTCCTTCACTGCTGGCCGTATGAGGAAGCTCAAGGTCGCTCAGCGAGCTATGGAGAGGGCTATGCTCGGAGTTTCTCTGCGTGATAAACTTAGGAATGAGGATATCCGCAGTAGAACCAGAATAACCGACATAGCCCAACGAATTAGTAAGCTGAAGTGGCAGTGGGCCGGCCATATAGCTCGAAGAACCGACAACCGATGGGGAAGAAAGGTTCTCGAGTGGCAGCCTCGTACCGGTAGGCGAAGTGTAGGGCGTCCCCCCACGAGATGGAGTGACGACCTGGTAAGATATGCAGGAAGTCGATGGATGCAGGTGGCTCAGGACCGTGCTTTGTGGCATTCTTTGGGGGAGGCCTATGTTCAGCAGTGGACTTGTGAAGGGCTGTAATGATGATGAATGATGATACGCGCGCCACCTACTGTAAGTTAATAGTACTATGCCTATAACCTTCGCTCAAGTGTAAGCAATAACTTGACGTTTTAACGCAATCTGATGAACGGTATTGCATGGTAGCACATAAAATACGAACAAACAAACATTAATTTTTATATATATAACTTTTAATAACAAATCCGTTTATTTTTATCTTGTGGGTATCTTGTCTTCCAATAAAAAAGATATAAATGTCATGTTTAATGAGCTTATAAATCTTTGATTCCATGTTTCGACACTTTGCACGAGGACTCTCGTATCTTTTCAGGGCGACCTTTCTACATTCATTCATTAGACGCTTCGTTTTCTTTCACATTTCATTTGATTTCGCGGGATTGATAACGTGTAAGTAGGAGCTAGGAATGTTTTAGATACGGCAATATTAAATTTTTATTAATGTTTGATAAAATTAAAAAAAACAACATTTCATTTTTAAATTAATTTTATCTCTTTTTATATATACTTACTTAAATTACAAATACCGACGGGAAGTGATGTTTAAAACTTGAATTCGATTTTGGCATCAAATTATGACAGATTCTTTCAATTTGGTCTATGCTACAAAACTTTTTACCCGCTTCACTTAAGTGTACGAATTTTCTGTAAATAGCAAATTAATATTTATTTTTGCTAAGTATTTAAAACATCTTCGTGTTATTAAATTTGATATGTTTTGTTAGGGTTAATTGTAAACATATACTTAAACATACTGTTTCTTGTTTAGTAGTATGCATGCTTTTTTTGTTCATTAAAATGTTCCGATGGATTTCCATACGCCTATGCGAAAAAACTAATTTACCAGCAGGCTTGGGACGCTGCTTTAGGAAAAATCCAATTGATGACTTGAATTAATAATTTGCCTTGAATGGGACTCGAACAATTCATTAGTCGAGTCCACTGATTATAATATAGCGTCAAGTTCGTAAGCAGAATCTTCGTATTGTCAAATATACAATCGGTAAATGCAAAAAAAAAAAAACACATTTAGTCGCATCTTAAATCACAATGTAGATTATGGACGTATTATTTTTAATTTTTGTCTTATTTTTATTCTTTTTCTAGGTTGTCTGGAAGAGATGAATATGTAGCAATAAGACTGCCTTTTATTTTCCCTCAATATTTGTTTATTTTTTGTTGGTTTATTTATCTTTACTTGGTGTACAAGAAAGAGTATTGTATTATATTTAAAAAAATCTACTTAAAGGAAGGTTTTCGGGCTTATCATTTTCATAATCATTAAAATATTAATTGTTAGAAAATAAGTTGCCTCTGTTCTCGTTGTAGTCTTTTCAAACATAACTGTTAAAGGCCTAGATATAAAGTGCGTTGAGGCTGCTTCCGCGCACGTCACTCTCGATCAAGCACGGCGCAGGTGTGGCCGTATGCTTTCCGTGCCTTTGTCGTAAAAAATAAAGTCAATAAAAACGAAGTGTATCTTTTTAATTTGTGTTTGTTTTGTAGCTGCTAGTGCACGTAAGTATTTGTGTCGGTCATTGACATTGTGGTATGCAGGGCATGGTTGCTTTATTGTGGCCTATTTCACTTGTCTATTGTCTGTTTATTTTATGTCGTATTAAAATCTGGTATTTCTGGGGAGGCCTATAAAGAGTTCGGCACGTCATGGTAATAATGAAAAAAGTGATAAGCAAAAAGTGATAATTCATATTAACTATTTTTGAATTGTGATTTCATAATAATGTTGACTCGATGATCAAGAAAGCACAGAACGTAGAAGCTATATTCTAAGTTCTGTTTATTGAATATAAATATGCTACTGGTTTAAGATATAATTACTAGTGAAGCCGGTTTCAAAAGCAAACAATTCAATCTTTATGTGTCATCGCATCGACTTACGACCTTAATACTGTTTAACGTACAACTTGACAACTTTAACTGTGATGTCATAAGTCAGTTTATTACTTAGGTCTTAGTATTAATTAAATTTCAGTTTTTATAAGTAAGAACTTTAGTCTATCACTGATGGTGGATGTTATAACGCCACCACTACAGGAGTGATAAAAGGAAATGTAACAGGAGATGATCAGCAGCATTTTCCTGACAACGACCCAAAATAATAAAAAACTGCGGTTGCAACCTGCCTGCCAAGCGTGGCTGCTTTGGTAAATATCTAACCTATGTGACATAGACCTCCCCAAGAAATGCCACACAGCACAGTTCTGGGTCACCTGCCATCTACTTCATAAATATTGCAATTCTATTACGCAGAAAAACTTTGAGCATAATCCTCACCATAACTTGCTGAGTGACCTTGAACTTCCCAATACGGCCAACGGTATAGGAGCCAGATCCATAATACGTTAACGCTGGCAACACCGGTTGTACACTCTTATGTTTATTGCACTTATGTTTATTGCTATACTTATGTTTATTACTTTTTATTATCCCTCTGTAATGAGGGCACGCCCCTGTATTGTAATGGAAGGAGTAGTACTAGCTGTCATCTTAATGGAAAACTTAATCGCGATTTCTCTGTATTGAAAGGACTACCTCATAAAATCTTAAATTAAACATGTCTAATAAAACGTTTTCAAAGTAATGAATTTGATTGTGTAATACATTATTAGACAAAGGTATTAATATTGCATTTCTTTACAAATTTATAAATGATAAATAGTATTAAATTTTACTGAACCTTACCTAAGAAACTTAAGTTGATGTTGACTGTGTACTTGTATTTCTTACCGAATCAAATAAAAAAGTGATAATAAACAAAAAAAATAATATTAAATATCACATAAAAATTTAGGTACCGTACTATTCGAAGCTAGCGACAGACTGCATAGACAATTAGTACAAACTGAAAAACAGTATTTCAATTTAAAAAAAAAAAACGATTTCTGCTAATTCTAATAATTTTATTACCACTAGAAATTTTTTTTTCCATTTCTTTTCCCAATTACTTACTACATGTAAAATGTAAATATGCCACCATTCAAAATAATCGTATCTTTTTTTTTTCAGATTGTACAAGGAAAGCAAGTGATCTGTACGATGCGACCATTTTTGTTAGGTAATTGTTTTTTATATTACCATATTGGTTAAGAACTTTTCCATAATATTGTATATAGAGCTTCTCGCAACTTACCTGCGCAAGATCGCGAACCTAAATTTAGAAAAACAATGAAATAAATTTAAGTAACTGTTTATAATCCACGAAATCGTGTAGAAATGGTTTCAGTTTTACAGTGTTGCTGATGTTAAAAAAATCCATTACGCCGTGATGTCGCATGGGTGTTGTAAGAGGTGGCTGTGAATAATTCCAAAAAGATCTATCTTCCCATAGATGTTTATTTTCGCATTATAGCCGCATTTTCTGTATTTGCACAAACGTTTTACTTGTTTGTATTGTCTTTAATTCGAGACCTACGATTTATTAATCAGGTATTTTCAACATTAAGCTATTTGCACCACAACATATTTGCAACATGTCATATGTGACACCCAGGTAAGGATATAAAAATACCTGATACCTATGTTAAAATGTCATCTAATATGCTTATACTGGATGTTTGTCCTTGTACAATTTATGAATGTTTACAAAATATATAAATATAGGGGTTAAAGTAACATTAATAAGCGACATTGACATCTTGAGGTAAAATCTTTACATTTACAACATTTATGGAGGTAACGTATTTTCATTTTAACTTTCTGCTGAAGCTGCGCCGCTTTGATGATTATAAAGTTAGATATTTCTGACATCTCTGATGATATCTATTTCTGCTTCCGTCTAGTAAGATATCCACTTTCACATTTTCTTGCTAATTTCAAATTTCGCGTTCACTCATTAATATGCTTCGGTTTAAAAGATAAAAGAGCTCGCTTAATTAACAGCTATAATATATTCCCATTTACATAGACCAGATGTAAAATACCCAGGCCGGCGACGGACAGCGGAATCAAAGGTGCGATACGTCTGGCACAACGCGCGTCAATACGTCTGCTAAGCGTGACAGTTAAAGCAAATCCTTTTTGTAGCAGGCGAGGCTTATGACAATTATTGAATTTTCACGAGCTGATTGATTGTTTTTTTAATAAAACTAGATTCTACAAACGAACTTGCAGAATAACTCATGGTAAGTGGCTAGTGCAGCTCATGAACATCTGCAACCAAATTCAAACAAAGAAGACTACAGGTGCGTTGTCACTTCTGAGGCCTTAGACTGAATAAATGTTACTTTGCGGGAATCTATTATATTAAGGTTGGTAAAAATTACCTTAGTTTGAAGAGCACCTCCCGCCCTGACTCAATTGCGTGCACTATCCCGTCACCACTAATCCCAGCATCACTACTCCCAGCACCAGTACACTAGGAAAGACACACCACACACACCTAGCTCGCCAGGCAGACGTTGTTCTGCCCTTTCCAACGACCTTTCCTATAAAAATCCTTAAATTCGCAATAAAAAAATTTTGAGGGTCATTTAGCGGGATAAAAACTATCCTATCTATCAAGTTAGACGAAAATGCACACAGTGTGCAAAATTTTATTGAAATCAGTTCAGTAGTTTAGTCCATCATAGTTGAGTCCATCGCGGACAAACAACGTGACACGTAATTTTTATATATAAAGATGATGACAAAGGTTTTCATCTTAATCTTCAAAGGTTTTAACTTTAAGCGCATCTGTAGCTTTATTCGTTGGCTGCAATTGTGCATGAGCCTCACTTACTCTTGTTATCAATTGGATCGTGATGTTAAAATTTAAAACCAACATAAGCGAAAGATGAACCCTAAAAGATGTCGCAACATAAAAGGAACCTTGATTGAAACGGGGAAGGTAGATGCTATCTTTACACCAATAGCGATGCTATAGCGTATTATGATTGCAGAATGAATTCATACAGAATAACAGCAGGAAATAATAGTACACTGTCCTTTTTTAAATGGTAACGAGGTGTTCCAATTTAGTCCTCAGGTGTGACAACACAACTGTATTTCGAGTTTCATTCGATGATAGATGCGGGCTTCTATGGGTCAGCATACATATAATCATGTGAACTATGTGACTATGTTGGCAGCAGTGATGATAAATTAACACCACAACCGCTGCCGATCTTTTCGGGGCTTTTTGACGAGGTAGAGCCATGCTGCAACTATATTATGGTTGTAGTACGAATGCGTCGGTTCGACCGGGGAAGGACCACGCTCTTACAAAATAAATAACAGCTTAATAAAGAATTGTGTTTCGTACGGTGAATATAGAGAACCCTTTTTACTGGAAACAAGGCATTCCATCTTAGTCTTCAGGGGTCACATTTTGATCCGCATTTTGATTCTTAATCAAGGATAGGTGTAGATGGTTATGGGCTACATCATCCACTTACCATCAGGTTGACTGTGTTTTCGTTTGTCAAGCTTTTTCTATAAAAAAATCTTACTTAGATTACAGCTGAGCTACCTAAGTAATCGTACGGTCTACAAGAACAATATATTTTATTCATATTCTAAAATTATTCATATTCAAAAATTATTCATATTCAAAAATTATTCATATTCAAAAATTATTCATATTCAAAAATTATTCATATTCAAAAATTCATACGTTTTATATGTAATGTGCGGATATCGTGTAAAAAACTTACATTTAAATTTCGAACTTCTTTATCAACATCCGTTTAAAAGTACACGAAGAAGACACTGCCAGTATACGTGAGAATAATAAAATAACATGTAGATAACGATTCCTATGAACCGAAAATGTAATTTCAAATTATTTGTAATCAACAAACGTTTAAAACTTTTTAGTTATTTCGTGTATAGTGCAAGGCAACCGCTGTTATTCACTTTCCAATCTACGTAAAGTCCCAAAGGCAAACTTGTAAAATAGGTTTCGAAATCATAAGAATTTAATTATACCAGACTGAAGTAATACGGTAACCCTCTAAATGATTTACTAGATACTACTCGTACATTATTTTGAACCCTTTTTTATGCCTAATAGATTAGCTGTGTATATAGTATAGTATAGTATAGCAGTGTAGTTACCAAGAGTTACACAATCGGTCTGGTCTGGTTTGGATTATTTACCGGTTGAATTCACTCAGCAACTTTATAAATATAAACAAAAATCAGCTTTGTATCGATACTGATACATTTACACTTTTTTGACTGCGTCGTAAGCGCGACTGGCGATCATGTGGTCTCGAGTTAGAATCAGGTTTGAATTCGGGAGTTGGCAGTGTTTCACCCCCTTGTCTCGGGAAACAAGTAAAGTCGTTGGTTCTGCGCCTGATATCCCGCCAGTCATGCCTAATTGCTGAGCCGTCGGGCTATGAGTGTGAGAATATGGATATTGCACCTTTGCTTGCGCACGTTTATTGTAAACCTGTATAATGAGCTTGGCCGCCGTTCCTGAAATTCGATCTGGAGGACAATATAATTATTACTTATCGAATACTACTAAATAAAACGTCAAACGTCAAAACGAAGCTAACCGAGAGCTACACAATCGCACTGCTTCTAAGGTTAATACTTGCTGGAAATACTGATAATGTATGAAATATACAGGGTTATTTTTCAAAGAGTAATCAAATTTTAAACTTAAGTTCATATAAATGATATACCAATATTGCAGTTATTGAAAATACGAGTAAATAAGACTTTTAATTTTTTATGGGAAACAACGTTTTTGTCTACCGACCGACCCTTAAGAATGTGTGCGTGCGCAGTAACAACAGTTAAAATAATGCATTACCTTGCATTTTGAATTTATAAGATAAAAAGGACAGAATGTTGGAGATTTTTTGTAATTAAGTTTTCTTCATTATGTGCCTATATTACTTATTCTGAACCTTGTCTGCAAATTTGGCCGGTTATTGTAAAATAACCCGGTATATGAAATCAATAAAAAAGGAGAAGATAACACAGTCATTTGTACTCGTATATTTTATTGTAAGATGTGTAATATTTGAATAGAGTAATGTATATTTATGCGTCCAACACTGGAAATAAAATCTAAAATTGTTTTCTATAGTCTGTCTGTATAATTCTGTCTATAGTGGAGAATGTGGATTTGAATTACTAACTTGGGTCTAAAGAGCCGCGGCAGGTCAATGCCTATTCGTTCGCTATGAATATCACAGTTTACGAATAACCTATTTATACGTGGTAGAGCCATGCTGCAGCTATATTATGGTTCTAGCACGAATGGGTCGGCTCGACCGGGGAAGGATCACGCTCTCACAGAATACCAGCGTAAAATAGCAGTTTAACGCTGCTGTGTTTCGTATGGTGAGTGTAGAGAACCGGAGACCCATTTCACTGGAAACGAGGCATTCCATCACGGGTGACAAGGCATTTGCATTTTGATTCTTAATCGAAGATAGATGTAGATGTCTATGGGCCACAGTAACCACTTACCATCAGGTGTACTGTGTTCTCGTTTGTCACCCTTATCCTATAAAAAAAAAACCTGGGTTCGGCCCCCGCCGTCACCAATAAAATTGTTAATTTATAAAGTGCTCGGTGGTGAAAGAAACCATTGTGACGAAGCCTGCTCAAAGCTGGCAGGCTACTGCTGAAGTCTCAGAAAAAATGTTTCGAAGACATCTAAGTCCGCCAACATATATTTGAGTAGAAAATTCGAAAACCCTCTAAAGCCTCTCAAGAATTGAGAGGAGGTCTGTGTCCAGCGGTTGGAAGATATAAAGGCTGTAATGTAATTTTACTTTTACTAATTGCTGGAATGTTTTTATAACTGGCTAGTAATTTATAGCTCACATTTTTTATTTTTAACTTCCTACTTTGTAAATTAATAATCTTCAAAAGTTATACTCTACGTTTTGAGGTTCTAGGAAGCTGTTCCGACCGACCGTGTGTGTGTGTGTGTATCTTTAGAACGAACCAACCGATCGAGATGGGCGACACGGTGTTCGAAAGTGTTTATTGAGACTTCGAGCTGATTAGATTTTGAAATCAATCGGTCGAACCGTTTCAAAGATTAAAATAAAAAAACCAAAAAAGCAAATATTAAATAGATTTTCGAGTGTTTTCGAGCATAACGCTCGA